ATGGCAACCGGCGAGGTTGCCGCGAAGATCTAAATCCTAAACCACCGTTCTGTTATTGCGGCTCGCGCCGCTTGCTCTCGCTAATGGCGCCATCGATACGCAGTTATGTTCCCCGGTCGTAATCCGTGACCGGCAAAATAAAGCTTCGCTCGCCCTCTGAAACCTCGGCGGACAGGAGAAGTACTTGCCACAAACTTGCGACGGGCATTTCCCTTCGCCCACATTTAAACTCGCCGAGCGCGCGATACGCGTTCCTAAGGAAGATAAAGGGAAGCAATAACACAGTATTTGTGGCTTAAAGGTAGAAGTGTGTTGGCTCTTAAAAAAAATCCTACATCCATAACTCTCACTTGTAATCGTGTATCTTTAACCCCTTAAATAAAGCAACGAGTCTTTGAAAAGGAAATTTCACGCGTTTCTATCGTTTGTAGTGTTTATCGCTTTTGAGTTTCGCGTGAATTCGTTTCAGCATGAAATCTCTTTGTATGCTCGATGCGCTAGAAATACAATAGAAATATTGGTTTTGTGAGATATTTCGTTTGTTTTTCATATATAATGGAAATATAATATACCACAACTTTACAATTGTAGAAAGTATTTCGATACATATTAGAATGTTGGTACTTTTGTCATCTTTCTTTATCCGGAAATAAAAAATAACGAAGCGAAGACGAAATTTTCCCTCAGTTTCGCGCAAAATTATGTGGATAAGTGAAAAATGTGAATCATTAAATTCACTAAACCTGTCGGGCATGCGCCGTGTGTAGTTATTTACGAGGTAAATAGGCACTTTTTCGCTTGACCGACGTTTTCCTCGACTGCTTATTAGCCCCTATTATCGTCACTTCGTTATCACATCTACGAAATCTCGGCGCAGCATGTTATCGACCATCAGCGCTTAACACACAATCGTCGGGGCTCGATTTTCCACCTGATCGTATTATTATCGTGCATCAATTTCGGCCCGGGCTCGTTGCGATGCGATCTCATCGTCTGCCCGCGCGTGCATAATTCGTTGCAGCCACGTCGCTATCGAGGTTGCCGCTCGATGCCACGTGGATAAACGGTGTACGTGTCCGTAAATATTCGCCCGCGATAAATCGAATTCCCACCGCGTTACGTAACGTCGAATTAAGTGATATTTTCAGTTAACGGATTTTCAGTTAATATCGAAAAACATCCCTGTGTTTCCAATATTCCGATTACTAGATCATTTTTCTCGGTTTACGTTACGTGCCATTTATTTCCATATTATGTAACGGAATAACGGGCTATAATTACTTCAAATTTATCATTCAAGGTTTATACGCGAGCATTTATTATTTCTATTTTGAAAGATTCAATGTATCGTATAGAATGTCTTACGACAGAAATATCTTGATTGCAAAGAATAAATCATCATTGTAAAAGATTTTGGCGAAACAGTTGAAGCTTCCTTTCAAATAATATCACGCGATTGTGCCAATTTGGGAAATTATAAAAGTGTTTTTTTATATAAAGCTATTTATTATTTATATTCTCATAATTATATTATGTCATTGTGATTATTATTCTTTATTATAATAATTTATACTATTTATTTTAAAAAATTATTATATAATACAATGCAGAAGTTGTGCTTTTTGAATTACAAAAGGCTTCATGCTGATAGGAACGTGCGACAAATACAATTTTAGAAGGTCGTTGTCCGAATCGCTGATCTGTGCCAAAACGACCTACTTCTTCAATCTGGAAACACCCGGGAGGAATTCCTCGCGGTAGCGATCACCTCGTCTGTCTTTCCTCTGCGCAAAGAGAAAGAGAGCATACGATGTTGTCGTTCCCCGACGAGAATGTCCGTCCTGCCAGTTGAGTCATCGAAATACTTGGCGAAAATAAAAATGAATCGCGATTCCATCGCGACGAGAAACGACCGAGTCAGCGGGGCCCTCCCGGGGCCTTTATCTGATCGCGCGATGTATCGGTACTTGATATAATATTTTTGCACGGCGTCGCGGCATCTATCTCGCCGAGAGCATGCAGCGGACTACAATGAAACGCGGGGGATGCAGTGGAAATTCGCCACATCCCGGCAGATAAGGGGGAATGAGTTCGTACAAGATGTGAGATGATAGGAATCGTTTATTTAGAAAGTTGCAGACAGTCTCGAATATCTTAGATAAGAGATCAATATACTGCGCAAATCTTATTAATCAGCAAAATGTTTCAAGACCGGAGACGCAGCGTCTCAATGTAAACACTTCGAATAGAATGTAAAGAAACGATGGGATGATAGAATAAATTGCAGGAGAAAATTATACGGAAAGCAATCGTACTAGTTAGCTTTGCGCGTATTTAAAATTCTTCTCCGAGTTGAAATACCTTATGTTTTTACGACCGATTCCACGCCGATATTTTCCTGCGCTTTTCATCCATCTAACGGAACACGAAGATGGATGCTTACTTTTTAGACGAGACACACACGGCGACATGTTTGTTCCAGAAATATATGCAAAATGTAGCGTATCGCGCCGTTATCAAGGATCCGTTTGCGTCATCGATAGAAATCAAATATTGAGATCGCCTGAGGGAGTTATTACTTCTCGAGTTTCGTCTCTCCGCTCGTACTTTATCGCGACGCTTATCTCGAGTTTCCCCGTTTCGAATTTAGGAGCCGGAGATTTCCACCATCATACGTAGGTCGGTAAATTTTTCGTATTTCCAATTGCTTCGATGTAGCAAGCGGTGAAGTTTCCCGTCGTTCGTTCACCGAACATACTTATTGCTTTTAACCGCGATCGCAGTGCTCAACCGAGAAAATAAGCTTTTACGGCGCGACTTAATGCATCGTTATCGATCCGAACATGATTAAAAGGGATAAACGACGGAGAGTTAGCGGACATTTTCAAAAGTATCAGTCAGAGTGAAGAAAAAGTATTACGACTTGCATCTTCTCGCGGAACTTTTCACACTTTTGCTTATTTTTATCGCCAATTTTAGTGGAACAATAATTGCGCGTCACTGTAGTCTCGTCTTTAATACTTTGGAAGTGTCTTAAAACAGCGCTTCTGCGAAGATACCGCATGACGTAGGAAATAAGAACAATGCCATTGTGCAACTACGAAGTTGGAGCAGCCTCATAAAGGGTTAACTCGCCGTTGCACTCGTAACCCAATTTCGCGCGCCTTTCCACCGGCATAGCCGCCGCCACTCTCGCAACAGGAGTTTCCGGACACGCGCGAAGCTCTCGATCAATTCCTCTAATTCGTCCTGCAACGTTCTGCCGTTTTTTCCCGCACGATGGAAAATCGCACTCGGCGCAAGTTGCGGAAAAAAGCGTTATTGTCCCTACGAAAAAAATGTATCTCGGAACGAATCTATTCTCTGATGCGTAACCGCGGCGAAAAAATATTTGAATTTGCTTGACAGCATTTTTATACTTTTGTGTTTACTGTGTCAACCAAACAAAACTGAATTTTTTATCCACGTTCTGCAAACAAATGAATTTATCTCTAGATACTCGGCGCATTGCTCCCGTTTCGCGATTTCGGTTTTATTTTCGATGGATGACACGGATTTGGGAGCGCAGCCGCTTGAGAACGAATTAATTAGAGATATTGGTGAATGTCCATGGCGGAAACAATGGCGAGTTGATACCGGGAGCTACAATGGACTGATGTGTTCAACTGCACCCGCTCGTGACCTCGGCACCGTTTGCCTCGGCGTACTGACGTAAACGCAATGCTATCCGGAGCGTGCATCACGATACACCGATATACATATCGGTAGACTAACATTTTTCCACAAAAATTTAATCGCGTGCAATTTTTGAAATTTTTATATTAAATATCCTGATAGTACTCAATTTAAAATTACGTTAACATGAAACACAGATAAAACTATCTAAGAAATAAAATCTTGATTATCAGTACTCAAGCATTCACGGCTAGCAGTTTTTATTTTTATACAAAATGGAAAATAAACTGAAAGTGCACTTTTCGAGAATATGTAGAATTTGTAAGAGAAGTTCGTAGAAGAGTTTGATTTGGAATCGAATGCGATGTAAAACTTTGATCGTTAAATGTTTTCTAATACACAAAAGTACGACTTCTACAATTT